ATAGTGATAACAGAGGACTTAAAATTAGAATTGAACATAAATGGAATTATAGACGAAATAGCTGATCCTGGGACATGGCTGCCATTTGAGAGACTCTAGATGATGCAGCCAGAGGAACATAGTGAAGGTTAACTTTTTGGCATAAATGAGGAAAGAAAGGGTTGTGATGAATATGACAGAGATGTCCCAGAGGAGGTAACACCAGCAAAAAAGCTTCGCAGTAGAAGAACTTCTGGAACTATGTCATGACATTGAAAGTACAAAGGATAAAATGTTCAAAGTTGATCCAGACTTGGAAAGGAGTTTGACAGTTTGCCAAAGCATAGAAAATATGCTTGCTCAGTATGGTAATTTATACAAGAAGGCCAGCACTATTCAAACTACTCTTCATAAGTTTTTTCAAAGAAATGACACTTTTTCAATGTTTTTAATATTTTAAATTACATTGTACTCTAAATATTAATTTAACATTTTTTCATTTCCCTACACAATTGTAACTGGCAGAATTTTTAACATTTTGACAAAAATTTTTAAAAGTCACAGAACATTTGTAATTTTTCCCATTATTAATATTGCTTTGCATGGTTTTAGCTTGGATGATCAGTTTTATGGTCCTGTAGTACCATGCCAAGTGAGGATAGCCTGTACATAAATGGTACCACTATTTTCCTTATGGATAAACATTTTATTTACGTATCCAAAATTTTAATTACTTGGGTCAAGTTCAGGTATATAACTTGAAATTTGTTTTTTCCCATCTCTTAATATTTCTGGTTTTGATTCTACTTTATCCACTGAATTTATTATTTAATCTGTTTTAAAACAGGGTTTGTAAATTTTCTTATTGGCATTCCTTAAGGAATGTGTTCACATCAGTTTTTTTTCAATGTATTCATCCGAGAAAAATTGTATGTTGTTATTTACTGGACTTTTTTGTTATTCTTCCCATATGAGTATAGAAAACAGTGACTCAAGTAATATTTTCAAAAGACTATACTATAAACTAATTTTTAAAAATAAAATGTTAAGTCCCTAGACTGTAGCTATGCCAAAATTTAAATGTAGGCATTTCCCCCAGGAACTTATTCCCTTTGCTTTTAAAAACTTTACAGACTGGTATTTAAGTAGAAAATAAATAAGGAGTATAGTCACAGTTATAGGAAACAAGTGAAGGCCTTTCTACAATAGTGGTGCTAACTCCAGTGTATTATAGATATAATAATGTCACATTAAAAAGTAGCAAAGACATTCTTTGTCCTACTTATTTACCTTTCATTTTAACATTAAGAGAATTGAGATGTCATATTAGATACTTAGAATTAGAGTCTATTTTTGGGGTGCCTGGGTGGCTTAGTCAGTTGAGTATCCAACTCTTGATTTGGGCTTGGTCATGATCTCAGGGTTGTGAGATGGAGCTCATCAGCATCAGGCTCTGTGCTCAGCAGGGAGTCTGCTTGAGATTCTCTCCCCACCCCCACACCCTCTCTGTCTTTCTCTCTCTCAAATATATAAATAAGTAAATCTTAAGAAAAAAGAATTAGAATCTATTTTCTATTCAAGTAACTCAAATCCATTCAAGTCTTTCCATCAGTTCATTCTTTCATCCAGGACTCATCATTAATTAATTAATGGGCACTTTCTGTGAGCCAGGCACTGTTCTAGGCACTGAGGATACCACACTGAATAAAATAAAGAACTTCAGTTTAAACTCTGTAAGGAGCTTATATACCATCTCTTACTCCACCACTAAAATCTGATTTATAATTATCTTTCACTATACTATAAAAGCCTCCAACCTGATCCATTCTCTTCTATTCTACACATCTCAGAGTCTCTATCTTTATTTTATATCATATGCCTGAATCTGTTTTTTCTGTGATATATAAATCAATCTTACTTAAATTCTTCTTACGCCTCTAAGCCCAAATTGACTCATAAAATGCCTTTGTTTTTTATTCAGTGAAAGCTAAATTAAAAAAAAAAAAGTAGTGACTTTCTTATAGACCCAAGTAACCACAGAATGCTAACAATAAAAGGAAATTCAGCTCTCCCCCTCACACTGCTAAGTACCTGAATTTTTCTTTCTTTCCTTCTTAAAAAAATAGTTTAACCTAATTAAAAAAAGGATTTGACTGACCTGACTTGTTCCTATTTAGGCAAAACTCTTTATTCCAAGTGACTTCATTGGCTACTGGCCAGACTTCATATTGGTCTCCATTAGATCAAGTGTCGTGTCCTGTGGCTGAGGTGGAGTAGGAGTGAGTTCATGAAGAAAAGATCATGACTGTTGCTGCCTCCTTATTAGAGTCTCTGGATATGGAACAATCCCTTCAAAGGAAATTTTACATACAGAAGATACCATGTTTAATATGTCTAGTTCACCATTATAAAGTATTTCAGATAAATTAAAGAAGTTGTACCACCTCTGCATTCTGTTTATCATGGGCTAGGGGAGGGAAGAAACTCCGGTTGGAAAAACATCTGGTAGCCAAAGAAAGGGAAGCATGTAGTTAGACTCAAGTATTCACAGAAATAAACATAAATAAGTAAATAAATAAACATGTACTTAAAAAAAAAAAAGGAAAAGGAAATAGGCTTATGACAGGGGTTTCTCTACCTATGTGCCTCTTACCCTGGCTCCTTGTTCTTCATCTTCCTGACACTTCTTGGGAGCTTCTTAGCACCCACCCTCCTAGAGCTGCTGTCCCATCCTAGGGAGCCACCACCACTGCCTTAATGCTGAAGACATTTCTTATGTTCTATTATAAAAAGTGAAGAAACTTAGCTCTGATAATATTTTTACTTGTGGAATCTCACCTAACACTTGGACAACTGAGAACAGTATGTCTCATGTTTTGTAATTAGGCTGATATTTAGGTATCTTAAAAAAAGTATAAACTCAGGGCAAAATTGAGCTAAAACTTTGGGTCTATTAGATGTTGTTGGTAAATGAGTAATTTTAATAACACCAAGTTTATGAAATATATAATTCCTTTGGTTGATTTGTCTTGGTGATCTATAATTAACATTTGTGTATATTGATGAGAATGAGTGTATTTGACAACTACGTGCATCTAGAATAAGTAGAAGGGCAGGATACTCAATTCTTGATAAATCTGTCAAACTGACATGATTCCACCTTGCTACCTGTATCACTTTGGTCAAATCATTTAATTCTCAGAACTGTTTTGTTATCTGTAAAAATAGGGGAAATATCTACTTTGTAGGATTGCCATCGAATCAACAGAGGTATTTGGAAGTGGCTGGTACAACATCTGGCACATAGAAGCTCAGTGAAGTTCCTTTCTTCCTTTTCCCCCCTCTTTTTTCCCCTCCTTCTTTCTCATGACCACTTCTCTGTTCTCTTGTTAATAGTCTAAACACAAAAGGACCAAGCTCCCACAGGACAGTCCTTTTCCTCTGCCCTCTTGTTTTTTCCTTTTGTTACCTCATTGTGGCTAATACGCTTACATATAATATAGAGATAACACAAAAATCTGTCTTTAAACTTGTTTTCTTAGTTTTTCCAGTCTTTTCTCTGGTTCCCAAGAGACCTGTTTACTTCAGCATTTTATTGTTGCTTTAAGTTTAACATATCAGAAGCTGCTTAAATCACTTCCTTATTTTTCAAATAGGCGCCCTCTTCTAATTTCCTCATTGTCTAGCCAAAGCATTACTTCCTTCTCTAATTCATTAATACAAATTGATAAAGCCCTCAGTGATTAATCCTGAATGATTCTTTGACTCCATTTTTCTATATCCTGAAATTCTAAAAACTTAACCTTCAGTTTGCAGTACATTAATTTCAAGTTTTTAATATTTGTAAGCTCAAAATTATTTCAGTTTTTGAGTTAGAATTTGCTTAAAATCATACGAGGTTCTCTCTCTCTCTTTTTGATTTATTTATTTTTTTGAGAGAGAGGACACACACACACATACACACACGCATGCTTGAGGGAGAGGGGAGGAGGGAGAAAAGCAGACTCCCTACTGAATGCAGAGGCCTATGCATGGCTCCATCTCAAGACCCGAGATCATGACCTGAGCCGAAACCAAGAATCAGATGCTTAACCAACTGAGCTACACAGGTGCCCAGAAGTCCTATGAGATTCCTAAGAAAAGGAAATTTTTCTTGTTGTTTTGTATATGTCAAAACCTAGTAAATGGTTGATTTACTGATTATTGATTAGAGCTATAAAAATAAATTCCAAAGTGTTCCTTTATTTCTTTCTTCCTGTTCTTTTCTTTAGCTTCCTTCATCTTGCTCAGAGATCTTTCTAGAAGAAAAAGAATATTATCTATTTTATATCTTAGGGTATTAGTAATGGAGATTAAAGATTTGATTTGGGTTCTATTATATGGAAAAAAATTTTTGATACTAATTTTTTAGCTCTATAAAACCCCTTTTTTTCATAGGACCCATGAGCAGCCTCTTTGGTTTTTCTTAGGTCATTCATGGAGTGTGGTGACAATGATTTGGATTAGAGAAATGGCCAGATTATGGTCCAGTTTTTCAGTAATTACAAATAGATTATGTCTGAGGGCATTTTGCTTCAGCATTAATAAACTAAAATCAACTTGACAGAGTCTGGTTTGGGCTTTGTGCTGAGCATGGATACTGCTTAGGATTCTCTCTCCCTCTCCCTCCTGCCCTCCTTGCTTCTCTTAAAATAAATAAATAAATAAATAATAAATAAATAAATAATAAACTAAAATCAACTTTTAAAAAGCTTCAGTAAGATTTAACAGATCCATTGCTGGGTACCAGCTTTATATAAAAGATGCTGTTTTTATTCTCTATTCAATAGTATGCTACCATTTTTGTTGATAGTAACAAATAATTCAAATACTCATATTAAAAAGATAAATAAGAAATAAATTATAAATATGCTTTGATGAGGAAACCAAAAGTTGGGATAAAAACAACTTAGAACCTTTGTTTAGTTTTTGGCTTGTATGAGCTTATGGTTCATAGCATGTCTTCACCTTTAACCTTGCAGGGACTCAAAGGCTATCCAGGGCTCCCAGGACTCCAAGGTGAACCAGTAAGTACTTCATTTATAAAACCTGTATCTTCTCCAATAAAAAAGACACACATTAGTGAACTCCATTGAGAGATTATTTTTCCCCACTTATTAAATTTCCTTCTCAATGACTTTCACTCTCTTTAGTGCAAGACAGACTTTTTCAATTGATCATGTTATAGGTTTATTTTTGTTTTTTTCCTGAATCCCTGACTGACTTTAACTATCTGCCTGAGATGTTCCAGAACAGCAGTTCTTAAACTTTTGAGGTTCACAAGCCCCTCTGAGAATGTTATAAATGCTATGAACTCTTTCCCCAGAAAACACACGTATTCATGCACATGAATGCACACACGCACACACACACTTATTTATTTTTATTTTTTGTTTCCATTTTTTCTTTCACACATTTGTTTTTTTTTAAGATTTTATTTATTTGAGAGCGCGCTTGTGCACGTGCGCACACACACACACACACACACACACGAGTGGAAGGGAGGGGTGGAGGGAGAGGGAGAAGCAGATTCCCCACTGAGCAGGGAGCCTGATGCGGGACTTGATCCCAGGACCCTGGGATCATGAATGGAGCCGAAGGCAGATGCTTAACCGACTGAGCCACCCAGGCGCCCCACACATTTGATTTTTTATACAGTTTCAGGGGTTTGCCTATTTACAAAAGCCTATTAATAGCTGTTAATTTCCTGACCTTTGCATAAGGGAATGCAAATAAATTTTAATAAAAATCCAAATTAGAATAGCACATATGTTATTGTCCATTATACACATATGCACATATTTAAAGTCAGAATAGTTTGGGAACTATTTAGTTTTTAATCATGTTATTCTTTCTCTCTCCCACCAGAAAATAATGTATCATATGTCATAGGGAAAAAAAATAAAGCCATATCTCTTGTTTTCAATACAGTATATATTAGGTCAGTATAAATAAAGCAGTGAAAAGGATAAGAGATAAGAAACTAACTAGGGTGATGGACACCATTATTGGAGATTCAGCAAAGAGCCTCAGGAAGCCCTAAAGAGAGCTCCAGAAAGAAATGTGATAGAATGTCCCTGAGGGAAAGATATAAATGAAATAAAGCTCATTTTCTCTTTCATTCATGTTAAGTGGGACAGTATACACTGTTCAGTCCTGAGGCACAGTTTTTCAAGATTACTAATTACTAGAAATAGCAAGTAAAGCGATATATGTATCTGTAACAAGTGCAATCTCAGTTTCTTGAAGATCAAACAAGTGCTAAAAAGCATTTATGGGAAAAAAGTCAGAAGGACAGGAAGGATTAGTCCCTGGGGAGAAAAAAAAAATCTCTAGGGGCACCTGGGTGGCTCAGTCGTTAAGTGTCTACCTTCTGCTCGGGTCATGATCTCGGGGTCCTGGGATCGATCCCCGCATTGGGCTCCCTGTTCCGTGGGAAGCCTGCTTCTCCCTCTCCCGCTGCCCCTGCTTGTGTTCCCTCTCTCGCTGTGTCCCTCTCTCTCTGTCAGATAAATAAATAAAACCTTAAAAAAAAAAAACTCTAGAAAACTGCTTTGACACAAATGTCTGGGTTCTAATAAAGAAAACCTAATATTTCACAAGTAAATGAAAAATTGACCATGTTAATACTTACAAGTGTTCTCACAACTGCTCTATAACCTAGTTCTTAGTATACTTGTTATTGTTCTGAGAGTGGTGTGCATTTTAGAAGAGTCTAAAATCAGTTTTAAAGGTTGGAAAATGTATTTTGGAGCAGTTATGGCTTTCCATTCTGTTTATTTCCAGAAAAAAGGCAAAATTGGTGGTAACTGTGAAATACATCTAAAATCATTTTGCATTTTAACTGTGAACACACTGGATATTAAGAGGAGCGTAACTAATTTGCTAGGAGACATTTACTTCTGAAAAATTTTGTAAATATCTGTAAATTGGTCAATAAGCATTTGGAAAATAATTTTATCATCTGTGCAAGTGCCAGTTATAAGAGCTGTCATTTACTGAATTCTTATTAATTGCTAAACTATTCCTACTATCAACTATAACTTCTAGTAGTATAATTATTTATTGAGTATTTCCATATGTTAACTAATTTAATGCATGGCAATGCTAAGGATTGTTGCAGTTTCTCCCACTTTTAAATATATTTCTACACATTGTTCTGTTTTCTCCACACAATAATCCTGTGACCTAGATATTATTATTCTTTTTTTTTTTAAGATTTTATTTATTTATTTGACAGAGAGATAGAGAGATAGCACAAGTAGGCAGAGTGGCAGGCAGAGGGAGAGGGAGAAGCAGGCTTCCCGCTGAGCAGGGAGCCCGATGCGGGGCTTGATCCCAGGACCCTGGGATCATGACCTGAGCCGAAGGCAGCCGCTTAGCCGACTGAGCCACCCAGGCGCCCCTAGATATTATTATTCTACTTTACTAATTCTACTTGGTAGCAGTGCTGGGATTCCCAGTGAAGTCTTGATTTTCTCAGAATGTGTGCTTTTAATTCTTGGTGTTAGAAGTAGGATTGGGGCAAGTTTCCTATTCCTGATTTCTCCAGGGTCTAGAGATAGATCTTTGTGTCTAAATTGCTCCATTCGACCTATAGATTTAAGTGGGCCAACTTTTTTGTTTTTAACCATTTTTAAGTGCATAGTGAATTTTAAGTTGTAGTGTTTGCTTTGAGTTTCATTTGAGCTTCTGTGGTTGTCATAGTGATTTTAGGGTGTGGTTTGCTTATACATGTTTATGCCATATAAGACTGCTGAAGGCTTACTTGTTTACTTTGTCTACTGCCATTCCAGGATAGCAGAATTTAGCCATCCCCAAGAATTCTTTTGTGTATTTCTCTTTGCAGCTGGAATGTGTTAGATCTCTACATGTTGCCTTAACACCTTTTATGAAAATCCATTCAAAATCAGATTTCCTCTATGTCTTAAAACAGATTGCTTTTTAATAGAGCTTAATTAATCTAATTTGGCTAGGAGAGGAATGAAAGGGATGGTGGTTGGTCTTAGCCAGACAGTGACCTACAGAATAAAAACAGCCCTTTTAATTTGCTTCACTCCTTTCTAATGGCATACCCAAATATAAGGTTTTGTGAATGTCTGGATATAGGCCTGTGTATTTTAGAATTGGATGAAGCATAAAGGAAGCAATTGTAAATAGACTGGAGTGAATCTCATAATTAGAGGGCTTTCCCTAGAGTACTATTGGAAGTTATGTACACTTTAGAACTACGCTAGGGAAGCAGCCTTAGATGGTGGTCTCTGGAATTAGACATGCTTATTCAAATCCTCGCTTCCCATGTACTAGCTGAGTGACTTTCCACTGGTGACAGACACTATATGTTTCATTTTGTAATCTATAAAATAGGGATAATGGCACCTACCTTATAGGGTTTAGGCAGATTAAATAAGATAATACATATAAAATACTTAAAATAGTGCCTGGCATATGATAGGTGCTAAATGAATGTTATGGGAATATGATATTATATATTGAACATGTTTTTAATAAGGTGATATTTAGTACAGAAATATGGTTTCTGAAATTCATAGGATAAATCTCTCCATATGTAGATAAGAATTTTATTCTGTACTTCTCAGAAAGCCACTGTTTTATTTACATTCTGTTAAATTGTCCATTGTCATATATATATATGTATATATACATAGCACTGCCAAACTGTGTCTCAAGTTTTTATAACTCTATTAAAAAATAACACTTGTTATACAGTCTTAACTCTATAAATTGGTCAATAAGCATTTGGAAATATATATATATTATATATACATATAATGGATGAATGTCTATACGTATATAGTACATATATATATGTATGTATGTGTGTGTGCATGACATGACAACTTTTGTCAGATTGTCTGAGTTCATATTCGGGCTCTGCTACTTACTCACTGTGGCATCTTGGGCAAGTTTCATAACTTCTCTGTATCTTACTTTCTTCAAATGTAGAATAGAGAAAATAGTATCTATCTCATAGATGTAAAGCTGATGTAATGTGCTTGACATAGTGAGTGGCACATAAAAAGGGCTCAGTAAATGGTAATTGTTGGAGGAAGGGGAGAGGAGGAGGGAGAGAAATGAGAAGAGAACAAAATTGAGAGAGATTCTGAGAAAAGTGGACATAAAGATATATTAGGAGCCTTCATGTCTAATAAAATGTTCATCTGTGATTCTCCAATTGCCTTTTCCTTTGTCTGTTCTTACTATAGATTTTCCAAATTTTTAGGAATTTTATAGTGTTTTTGTGCTTAAACTGAAAGTAACACTCTTCTGTGTGCTTCAGAGCAGAAGGGCAAAGGGCTAGTGTCTTTTATCTCTTACAAACAATAAGAAGGAAATGAATTTTACGTAATAAATAAATAATCTATGAAATTTAACATTGCTGTCACCATCTGAGGTTAAGTAAAGGCAGTTCAACATATAGTCTTCTGGCATTTCCTTGGTTCAAGAATTATTTAATACACCTAAACTCTGGATAAACTAATGAATGAATTTATCAATGAAAGAAAAGTAAAAACAAAGTGGAGGTATTTCTTCTCACTTGACCCCCGCCCCCCGAGTTCTGTAGCAAGTTTCCTTTCTTATGCCTTTGAGTCTCCTTTCTTCAGCAAACCTTGTTTTAAAATTAAAAATACAAAGTTGTCAATTTAAAATGAGTTTACCGTCCAAAGTTAGTTTGAATTTTTAGATGGATCTATGTCATGATAAAGGTACTTACCACTTAATATCCATTTCTTAGTCAGACTTGCTGTAAGAATGAGTTTACTTTAGGAAGGCAGAAGAGGTTTGTTCTGAGGTTCACTGCCCCTTTTAGTCTTCTGGGCCTCATGCTTAGACATTTAAGGAGAGTTGTGAGATGATTGAGATAAGAAGGAATTCAATGTAAAAAGATACTGGTTATTAGGAAATGTATCAACTCCTTTTCTAGAATAAGTGTCTTCTTTATGTAGTGCTGGATTTTCCATCCTAGATTTATCATTATGAATAGTCTGTGTCTCATTTAAGGCCCCTAATCTGACAGTTTTATTTTTTTATTTAATAATTTTGGCTCATTTTTATTTCAAATAGGTGATTTCAGTCAGATAAACAATGTGCAGGACTCTTAGTACTTTTATGGGGGAAAATTTCTTTATAAACTTGGGTATTATAATTGTGCCAAATTTGTTTCCTTGGGCTTCTTTTGATTTTGTTGTATTGTTTTATTTATTTTATTTTTTATTTCAGGGAATTCTAGGATTCACTGGTAATATTGGTTCACGTGGTTACCCTGGCAGGCAGGTGAGGTAACTATATTTACATTTCTCCTTTTATGTTCCTTTTCATTAATGCATTGTATGTTCTGATTTTCAGAGTTAGTGTTCAAATAATAATTGGTTTATTTCTATTAAATAATGAATTACTCATGGCAAAATAATTTCAAAATTAAAACTGTAAAAATCTTTAAAAATGTTACTGTAGAAAGTTTTGTTTAAAATAGGAGTAGGGTTTTTAAACATGTGTGAGGTGATACAGTGGAAACTTCAAAATTAAAATGCCCAAGGGTCAGGGCGCCTGGGTGGCTCAGTCGGTTAAGCGGCTGCCTTCGGCTCAGGTCATGATCCCAGGATCCTGGGATCGAGTCCCACATCGGACTCCGTGCTCGGCAGGGAGCCTGCTTCTCCCTCTGCCTGCCTCTCCCCCTGCTTGTGTTCTGTCTCTCTGACAAATAAATAAATAAAATCTTTAAAAAAATAAAATAAAATAAAATAAAATGCCCAAGGGTCTAATTAGATTTTAAAACAATCCTGCCACTGATTTTACAATACTGCCACTCACTATAATGAAGTAATGGTAAAAGTTAAGACTGTATAACAAGCGTTATTTATTTTTTTTAAAGATTTATTTATTTATTTGAGAGAGCGAGAATGAGAGAGCGAGCACATGAGAGGGGGGAGGGTTAGAGGGAGAAGCAGGCTCCTCGCCGAGCAGGGAGCCCGATGCGGGACTCGATCCAGGGACTCCAGGATCATGACCTGAGCCGAAGGCAGTCGCTTAACCAACTGAGCCACCCAGGCGCCCCACAAGCGTTATTTTTTAATAGAGTTATAAAAACTTGAGACACAGTTTGGCAGTGCCATGCATACCACTACCGAATAATTTTATCTGAAATGAATTCAAGTCTTTTAATACAGTTTTGAAAATGCATTCTAAACATTTTATATTTATTTTCCTCTCACTTACAACTTTATTTCATACAGACTAATAATAGAACAAATTTTCTTCCCAAGGTTTTCATGAATTGAAGACTTACTCTTGAAATTAATTATTCATTTAGCATACTAGAAAGCTATAGTTATAATATCTTTTTTATTCCCAAGAATGAGGGAAATGAAAATGCCAAAAAGTAATCTATAGTTAACAAAATTCCAATTTTAGGCCTTTAAAAATACATGGAGAGTATTGTATATTAGAGTCTTACCACCAAGTGATGATTTGTGGTCCGAAACATATATAAATACTCAAGCATATGGACATTGATCTGAAGTTAAAAATGTATTGGTTTTAAATTATGGGAATGTATTTTAGATAAGTTAATTAGAAGTGTTTTAAAAGAACACAGTTTTCCAATGAGAAATAATTTAATTAAAATTTATTTTTTCTGTATCTTATAATGTGTGTTAATTTACCTTGTTTAGGTATCTAAAATATATTTTTGTATAGATTATATATAGTAACTCTTTTGGTTCTGAAATTCTAAAACTCCTTGAACATATATAGTCTTCATTAAGTATATCTAGTTCTGAATTTTATACTTGTGAAAATGATACCTCTTTATATGACCATTTTATTTTATTTATCAACAATGCTTTCAAAATACTGTAGTACGATAATGATGTCTTTTGTTCACACTAGGGTTTAGCTGGACCAGAAGGTAATCCAGGTCCTAAAGGTGTACGAGTAAGTAAACATTTTCATCATTTTGTAAGCATGCTTGCATAAAAATCGAATGAAGTATATAAAATAGGTATCAGTTTCATACTTCCGTAGGAACTTTGAATGTAATGCCAGTTTAGCCTGAAAAGAAGTACATTTGTTTAATAGATGCTTTCACTGTTAATGGCCACAGAAAGCAGCCTTATAGTAGTAGGTTTTACCTCATTCTTTTCTATTATTTTCTGGCTCCTAGCATAATGTCTGGTATGTTAGAATGGACTCTATCAACATTTGTAGTATAATTTATATATGAACATATACAGACCTAAGAAATCATGATAAAAAATACGAAGAGGCAAAAAAATTTCATATTCATTTCAAGGCTGAGATAATATGATATAAAAACTATCTGCAGTAAAAAAAATATCTGCAAAGAAGGAAATAAGCTTATTATATCAAGAGTATACCATTGCACTTCAAACCACTAAAGAGTTTAGTCACTTTTAATCATTAAGGAAGTGAAAAAAATTACTGTGATATCTTATGTAGTGTGCTACAAATTAAAATCAAATCTAGTCTAGGAAAAATTAGAAAAAGTAAACTGGAATTTTTGTTTTTAAAATTTACTTTTAAAAGCAAGTTATTTTCCAGAATCTACGTCTATGCCTTATATTATCTAAAATACCTTTTTGAGGGGCACCTGGGTGGCTCAGTCACTTAAGAATCCGACTCTTGATTTCGGCTCAGGTCATGATCTCAGGGTGGTGAGATGGAGCCCCATGTCAAGCTCCATGCTGGGTATGGAGCCTGCTTAAGATTCTCTCTCTTCCTCTCCCTCTGCCCCATCCCTCTCTCTCTCTCTCTTAAAAAATATAACTAAATAAAAAATAAAATACCTTTTTCAAATAAAGCATAAAGTATTTAAACAGTATGTGCTATAATGATGCTTTAAATTTAAAATTTCTAAATAATACTTTCATACGTTTTTTTCTTCTTTTATTTTGCTATCAATCCTGTGAAGTAATTTTACAGATGAGAAAATAGCAAGCTAAGGAATTTACGCAAGTTGGCAAAGTCCTAGCTGGCCAAAGAACCAAAGTCTTCTCATATTTAGCTATGTACTCTTTCCTCTATCCTATACTGTCTCTACCCTTATATTAAGTGAAAATATAATGGAGAAAAGTCATGTATTTTTTTATTAGAAACTATACCAAAAGCACATATTGACTTGGATCTGGGAAGTAGAGAATAGTGGTCAAGAACTGCCTGAGCTTAACATTCTTAAACCATAGTGTCTAGCATATAGAATGCATTTTCTATGCAGACTTTATCATTTTATTGGAATTCGGGAGTCTTTTCTGTGCATGAACTCAAAACTCCAAGACATGTTATTTGGTACCATGTAGTTTTCTCTTACTGTATTTTCTCATCTTGCTTCAGTGATTCCCAAAACCTTTCTAAGTTCTTCTTTATACCACTATATTATACATCCTTTTGTTGCTTTTTTCTTCACTTGTATGGAAACTGTTGTCTGTGTTGTAACCCTTTTTAAGTTACAGCTTTAGGTTTCAACAGCCAGCTTTATAAAAGCATTTTAAAAAATAACAAATATGGGGC